GCCGTCTTCTCCTCCTCCTCCTCCCCCCCGTCTTCTTCTTCTCCTCCTCCCCCCACTCTTCTCCTCTTCCCCCCAGTCTTCTCCTCCTCCTCCTCCCTCCAGTCTTCTCCTCCCCCTCCCTCCAGTTTTCTCCTCCTCCTCCCCCCGGTCTCCTCCTCCTCCTTCCAGTCTTCTCCTCCTCCCTCCAGTCTTCTCCTCCTCCTCCCAGTCTTCTCCTCCTCCTCCCAGTCTTCTCCTCCTCCCAGTCTTCTCCTCCTCCCAGTCTTCTTCTGCATGACATCACCCATTATCCTCTCTCTTACTTGCATGGGACATCATCCCAATTTCTCTCCCATCTTCCTTAACATGGTATCACCCGATTGCCACCATCTTCTTCCATATTGACGTTGCCCGTAATCTACTTCCTCACTGACATTTCCCGTCATCCTCCGTCTACTCCTTTTTGACATTGCCCATCATCCCCGTCTTCTTCTAAATTGATACTGGCCACCATCCTCCTTCTAATCCACACTGACATCACCCATCATACCCAATTCCTTTTGCCACATTGACATCACCTGTCATTACCTCCCTGGTTGTCTACTAAATTAACATAACCCGACATCAACCGCTATACCCTCAGTCATCCTTCATGTTGACATTGCCTGCCATTAGCTCCCCCCAGTCTTATATAACATTGACATCACCTGTCATCAACCCGTCGCCCTCCATGTTGACATTGCTTGTCATCTGCTCCCTCAGTCTTCTTCCACATTGCCATCATGTATCCTTTGGCATAATTTATGACTCTATGTGGTTTAATCTGAGACTCATGACTCAACATTTCCCACTTACACCAATCCCTTCTTTCCCAACAGACGGCCACTACGTCAGGAAGACTGCAGAGAGATATCTTAGTTCTTCACTGAATCACGCCAGTCGGAATAGTGACGTCTCTCCAGATTCCCCGGAAAACTTCCTCTACACCTCCGATATAAATCTGGGACTCTACATTGCTGACATATCACCCGATTCCGGCAAGAGCAGCGGGGGGTATCGGGGAGACCGGTTATATCGCTGCACTGAATGCGATAAGTCTTTTTGCCAGAACGCCGCCCTTGTTCGACATCAGAGGAACCACACTGGTGAAAAGCCCTTCCCGTGCCTGGAATGTGGGAAAAGTTTTACCCGGAAGTCGATCCTGGTGGAACATCGAAGGATTCACACGGGGGAAAAGCCGTTCTCATGTTTGGAGTGCGGAAAATGTTTCACGCAGAGATCAGGTCTCCTCATTCACCGCAAGACCCACAGAGGCCCCATGAAATTTCCGTGCAGCGGGTGCGGTAATTTTTTCACCCCAACGGTAAACACTGACACGGGGCAGATAGAGACCTTCTGTGCCAGCTGCCGGAAATCAAACCTCGCTCCCCCTCTTTCTCCTGAGCTCAGCCTGTGTGACACAGAAGAGAAAGCCAACCTTGGACAGGACAGCGGTAAAAACTTCTCGCAGGAGTCAAAACTTCCCAGCCAACCTAAAGTTCCCACGGGGGAAAAACGGTACACGTGTCCTGAGTGCCAGAAAAGCTTCACGCGGAAGTCCATCCTGGTGGAGCACCAGAGAATTCACACAGGGGAGAAGCCGTTCTCCTGCTCCCAGTGTTGGAAAAGCTTTACACAGAGATCCGGCCTCGTCATACACCGGAGGATTCACGCACGCGAGAAGATATATTCGTGCTCGGAGTGCAGGTGCATTTTTACCCAGAAGGCCAACGGTCTTGTCGGTGAAGAGAGTTCCTGCCCTGACTGCCGAAACGCTTCTACTCAGAAGCCTTAGTGTGTGAAGCCATCAAAATTCCACGCCTTATGGGGCTGTGCAAAATTAATTTCTTCAAAGGTCATAACTTATTTATAGATTATTGGTCGTTGGTTGTTCAACATCATGATAATAATTGATTCAGCCAAGATCCTTAAAAGCCGAACTCCAGCCAAATCTTGTTTTAGAGTCGGGGAAGAGTTAAAGCCCCACTCTGGGCTCCATGACTTCTAGCTTCCCACCCTTCCTCTCTCAGCGCACATTAATCCCCACACCTAAATTCTGCACTACCTGGTACCCCGACTGGGTACCTCCGTCAGAAATCAGCTTCCTCTCCGCTGGAACCTGAATTCCAGTGTCCTCAGCCCAAACCTGACTAATGTTTGGACAGAACAATATTAGGAGAGAAAGCTAAACTCCTCAATCATCAGACAACACCAATGTTGAAGTGGAAACCAAGAACTGCTTTATCAAAGAAAGAGCACAGAGTTTATACCTCACAGAATCGGATATGAGTTCACTGTGTTGAACAGTTCCCTCCCCTAGACAGCCGGGTGCCGCATTGGAATTCCTTAAAGGAAAACTATGAGGCGAGTGAAAATCACTCATCCTCATAGTTCACACGTCAGCTCAATAGATCAGGAAGTGAGAGAGAGCACATACTGTCGCTTGCTTCTCAATCCTCTCCCTGCAGAGAGCGGTGACTGTCACTCACAGCTCTATGCAGGGATTCCCCCCCTCCCGTCCGATCCTCCACCGCTGACTGGCGGAACGGACGGGGGAGGGTACAGCTGGCTCTGCCTCTAGATAGGCAGAGCCAGCTGTCAATCACGCAGCTGGGTGGATCTCAACAGTAATGTCGGGATCCGTCCCGGCTGCGGCGTCTCAGTATACCGCGAACTGTAGCGTGCGGTATACTGAGCTTTGAGTGATGGGAGGACGCTAGTTTGTGTCCTCCCGTGACCCTTACGAGAACTATGGGGAAAAGCCCTGACCCCATAGTTCTCCTTTAATTAGATGAGAGCTTGATCCCATCATCCCAAACAATGGCCCCTCCAGACAGCCTGCTGCCTTCATAAAATTATGTTTAGCAGCGATGGCATCCAAAGATGGAAGTCCAGATGGTTCAAATCAAGTCAAATAGTGAAAAGCTCTCTCTCTAGATAAAATATTAAACAGGAAAACAACAACAGCAAACAAAGTTCTCCTTGGTAATAAATCTCTGCAGCCCTAGGTCCGTAGTCAGTAGGTTAGCCATCAGGCTCCTCCAACAGCCCCAGTGACGGTTCAGTCCGTCACACTACCCTTCTCCCAGACCAAGCAATCCTTGTAGTTATGGCCAGTGTTGTCATCAGTCACTGGTCAAAAATACTAAACGTTTAGGCCTCTAAGAGGAGGATTCTACGGCACTCCCTATGTCGCCTCCGTGTGTACTTAAGGAGTGCTGCAGAACTACATTTTCCATCACCCTTCAACCCGCATACATGGGGGAAGACTATAGGCAGACCTGTCTTGGTGGTAGGCGGTACTGTGTGTGGTGACCTCCAAGCTCAGTACTGTTCCTCTGTGACCAGACACTTAGCTAAAAAGAAAGGCACAGGAAGTAGGTGGCGAGCAGAGCCTGACAGGCAGAAGGCAGCTTAAATGCAAGTCCTCCCACTGATGGAGGAAGCACTGACTTGATTACGCCTAGGCTAACTATCACATACCTGGTGGAGGTCCGATTGGCTGAGGAGGCCTCCCTTGTGGCTCTTGTTCACACCCCTGGATGTGGGAACAGGGAGCGAGTAGACAGAGAGGAGCATGGGTGCCAAGGTGTTCAGACACGGTGCCTTGTGGAAGTCCAGCCACTGGGTCCCTGGAAGGATGAGCAGGGCTGGTTGGCAGCGAAGATAGCAGTGAAAACTGGAGCGATGTCAAACAAGCCAGGGGTCAAGCCAGACGGTCAGCACGGTGCAGAAGGAGCAGGCAGAGGCAGAATTCAGATAAAAAGCATAGGTCAGGGGCAGGCAGCGGTCAATCAAGGTCAGCAGCAATCCGAGTCAAGGCAACAGGCAATCAAATAGCAGGCGCACAAGCTGAGAGACCATTCAGCATTGACCCATTGTGCCAGCTGCTTTAAATAGGACCATCCATTAGAGAGCAACTTGTCACTTCCTGTGTTCGCCACCTTCCGCTCTGAGCGCGTGCACGTGTTTTACGGCAATCCAGAAGGCTGGAACTTGCGTATGCGCAGTAGCGCACAAACTTCTGGCTACGGCCTTACACTAACAGAGCGAAAACTACAGGGGACGTTAAGGGAACTGGTCACCTTGATGCACAAAGAGCAGGTAGAGGTGTCCGGTCCCCTAGAGAGGAAAGGTGGGGCTGACATTCTATTACATGTGGTATTTATATGACAAGTACACAGGTAGAAAGATTTACTCATTACAAATAACAAGTTGTGCCTGGAGATAAGCTTTAAGATCTCTGTCAGGTTTCCACTTCTGCCTTTGTTTGTTTTTGTCTGTGTCCCCGTTGGAGATTTTTCACTTCCTGTCCTGACAGGAAATAAAGGATAATTTTCCCAATATAGACAAAAATGGCAATAAAAACCCAGCGCGGATTCTCACCCTTTTGCCGCTCTATCCCAAATGCCTTTTCACTAGCACAGAGTACTGTAGAGTTCTGTCATCAGCCAGCTGACAAAGACGACGGCCCATCTAGCGGTTTCGGCTATTATCAGGAGGACGTGTGCTTTGGGGGGGATTCTTTACTCAGAAGTCAGATTGAAATAAGCGTCAGAATATTCTCACAGAAGGAATGAAAGGAATTTTCCGGTCTATGGAAGCTTTTCCAATCTGTTGGTTTCCAGCAAGTTCACGACGAAGCGAGACCTGTGGATCCCAACGTCAGTAGTGTTATCGGAGATATCGCAGGCTGAAGTTGAGCCTTGGGAACGACGCTCAAAACGGAAGCTTTTTCTTGCACTAGAAGCGTGTTGAATTTTTTCCCCCCACAAGTCCGGTCTCCTCAAGGGCCAAATCATCTATCACTGGCCCTCCGACCCCTTCAGCCCAGGCCAAAATAGAAGAACATTTTCCTCGTGTCAGAAGATGAAACTGGTCCTTCCGAACGATTGCTGCGGTTGTGTCCTTAGACGTTGACTTTACTTTTTATCATGTTTACGTCCTTTTGAGGTTTTTCTTGTTGTTTTTATTTATGATTGAAGAGATAACTGTGTGCAAATTTTAAACAGAAAATTCCCGGAACAGGTTCTAGTCTTTACTTCCAATAAATGGTTAGTTCCACCGTCGATGTCTGCCGGAGGTTAATGTCGTGTTTTGTGTCGTTAGCCGGTCCTCAGCTGTAGCAAGAGATCAGGGTACACTGCTCTTTGGTGGCCAATCGGATTCAGGCATTCTGTAACAGCCATGTTCCAGGGCAGGTTTGAATCTGATCGGATAGTTATTTAGGAGCTTCTCGCACACCAACAAGGCCTCGTTCACACCAGATGCAGTGCGTTCCGGCCCGATTCTGCCCAGAACGCACTGCCGCGCATTGTGGCCGGCTCACTTTTTTGTGCGGCAGGAAGGGGCGTGGCGGGTCATTGAAGTGAATGGCAACGTAGCCGCGCCCTCCTACCCCACAAAAAAGTGAGCCGGCCGAAATGCGAGGCAGCACGTTCGGGCCGGAACGCACTGCATCTGCTGTAAACGAGGCCTAAGGGTCAAATGACTTGCCCTGATGTAACAGACAGTTCCTTCCACATACTGATAGGTAGAAAGTGTCACAGTGTCACTTAACCCTCTGAAAAACTGAGTTTTGAAGTGTCATGTGACCTGAAGCTATCGACAGGTAAATAGTAGTGATGCACCGATACAATTTTTTCGGTGTCGAGTACCGATATTTTTTTTTTCGGTACTCCCCGGTACCGGAAGTCCCATTAAGGAAGCCAGGTGGCGTTTAATGACTCGCATGAAGTTGGCTTCCCGCCCAATTAAGAAAGCCGGGCGACGCGTCATTACACAGCACCCGGCTTCCTGATTGGTCGGGAAGCCGGCTCCATGCTCCCTCATCGCAAGTGACGAGGGAGCATGGAGTCGGGTTCCCAGCCAATCAGGAAGCCGGGCAGCGTGTAAAGACTCCCTGCCCAGCTTCCTGATACTGGAAGCTCAAGTATCGGGCTAGGCATCGGAGCATTTGGACGAGTACTCGCCCAAATACTTGGCATCGATACTAGTATCGGTGCATCCCTAGTAAATAGTGTCACATGATATGTGGGTTTATAGGGACCCCTTCAGGGGGATGCTATGAAACAAAAAATATCTAACGGAGCCAATACCACCCATTGGCTAAACCCCACTGCTGCTGGAGAATTGTTTTTATTCCAGCTGCCCTTACCTATTAGGGGGGACCAGTATGTTGTCACAGCTGTGGCGCCACAGGATGGTGAAAGCTGGTATACCAGCTTGACCACGAAATACAATACATCGGTACTCTGCCTGAATGATATTAGTGCTCTCCAAGAACTGGGAACATCTTGAAGAGGCTTTGGATAACGTTCTACAGGAGATGTGGAACCTCCATGTTCCTACAAATCCCTTTACGGATCGACGTGCTGAATAACAACCTCCGAGTGTCAGTGTCCCTGTGTCAAAGTGCCCAAGTAAGATTCCTCTTACAAGAGACCCCCAGAAACTCTTATAAACCACATAAAAGCATGGACCCATCCTGCCTTGTATCAACGGTTCAGGCTGGTGGTGGTGGTGTGGGGGGGTTATTTTCTAGGTACACTTTGTTACGTGATGCCATCATGTCAGTATGGACCGAAATCTCTGAGGAATGTTTACAACACCTTGTTGAATCTATGCCACGAAGAATGAAGGCGAAAGGGGGTCCAACCCGGGACTAGCAAGGTGTACCTAATAAAGTGGCCGGTCAAGTGTATATAAAAGTAATTTCACCGGAATATTGATCGATTAATGGAACTTTAAAACCTCATGGAGGTGGACACAGAAGGGCAAGCCAGACTTGATTGCCAAGGGAGCTGTGGATATCACCCCAACATGCATGGTTTTTGGTTGCCTATCTGGGATGTAGAGGTTCAGGGTAAAATGTTTACATATATGTATAGACGAGTCACAAAACCCTTTAAAGCTCAACTTGGGAACTGGAAAGAGTGAGTGGTGGGTAACCAGATTTGACTTCCTGGTTCCTGGACCTCCAGATTTTTCCAAACTCGTAACCTACTGCTGGGTCGATTCTTTGGCAGCCCCAAGACCTTCCCTCAACCTGGAGAAATATTATCATCTTCAATGTGCCCGGAAGATCTTCTCCCAGTTTGTCACGTGATTGGAAGACTGACTGCGGCATACCGGTCCTAATACAATCACGGTCATATACATCCCTTCCCAATATTAAAGAAGGAAAGCGCGGACGTAATCACAGACAGAAGTCTCTCTAAGAATCATAACGGTCCGGCAGGGGTTGCCGGAGCAAAGGCTCCCAAGCTGCAAGGCTCATTTGGGCAAGCAAGCCATTCCACCTCGACAAGATGGCGGTACCATTAGGAATGGGAAAAAAATGTGGTTGTTGCTCTTGTGTGCAACCCGCAGCTACCTCGGCTGTGAGGGTGAGTACTTTAGGGCAGGAGTAGGCAACCTTGGCACTCCCACGTCCCAAGAGGCACTGCAGGCAAGACTGACTAGCCAAGGCATAGGCATGACGGAGTGCCGAGGTTGCCTACCCTTGCTTTAGGGTCTTCACACCGGGGCGCTCCGCCGTTGCGCTGTGCTTAAAGTGATATGAAATCCTGATTTTCTTTTAATTTCTACCGCTGAGGTGAACTGTGGATTCTTGTTGTAGTAAAGCGATGATGGTCCAGCTCTCCTGGTGGCTCCCTTCCCGTGCAGGGTGCTATAGAGCCACCCTCTTACGCGCACTCCAGGCATCGGACTGTTGTGCCACCATCGCCAATGTGCACAGACAACCCGAGAGGACAAACACAGAAGACACGCCCTGCGCTCCTCCTCCAAGGGAAGTGATTGACAAGCTCTGCTGCCAATCGCTTCCCTTGGAGGAGGAGCAGAGGGCGTGGCTTGTGTGTGTAGACGCAGGTAGTGTGCCCACATCAGATACACGCATACGCCATGCGGTCCCATGATATCTACCTGGTGATGTAGAAAGCGCGACCCGGTTAGGAAGTTCAGGGTAGGGTCGCGCAGCAACCTGAAGGGTGTGCCCCTAAAGACAGAAAAGAGCATTGTGGGAACAAAGGGTTAATCCTGCTGCTTTAGAATAATAATCTGTACACATCTGCTGCTGTTATAAAAGTTGAATCTTTAGTACTTGACCCCGAAATGCGTTAACACACCTCAGGCCGCGTGCTGACCTACCTGTGTTGAAGGTGAGCTGTTGATGTGCTTATTCTTTAGGTGCTGGGAGCGCGCCCCACGCACTATACCAGGGGCGGGCAACTCCGGCCCTCCAACTACAAATCCCACCAGGGCATCTGCCTCTGGGAGTCATGTCTGTTGCTGTCAAAGTCGTGCAATGCCTTATGGGATTTGTAGTTCCGCATCCTCCTAGGGCTGCCGCCTTTTCCTCAAGTGGAACCCGAACACTAGCCCTGTACGCGGCAATCCAGAGTATAGTGGAGAGAGTGAGGAGAGGCAGTAAGGAGACCAGCTATAGAGGACTACAAATCCCAGCAATACAAAATAATGTGCAGCTG